CAATGAGCTGGTGCCCTGACAGTGTGCCATGCAGCCACCTGGGAGGAGCAAAGCTGCAATACCTGAGGAGGCTACACAGAGAACAATCTTTCCCTGTGAGCACAGCTCTGCACAGAGTGCCTTGTAGACAAATGTCTTCCCTGTCCCCCCAGGGCCTTGAAGCCAGAAGGTCTGTCCATCACCTGCATGTTGGGTGATCTCTTCAAAAGCAGCACTCTGTTCTGCATTCATCTGGTCCTTCATTGTTGCTGCCATTTCTGCCATCTCCACTTGATCATAGTCCAGTTGTTCTGCAATGAGACAATTTTGATGAGGTGCAAGACACTGCTCCCAGTCTGTTTGGAAAGGAGGAAACTCACCATTGTACTTTTCATTGGTTAAGCTGGAGCCTTGCATGTGAAGTAACTGATCAATAAGGAAGAGGCCATAGTCAAGCACATCACCCTGTGTTGTATTGGGGAAGTGGTGTTGCAGACAATGATGAAGATCATCACAGAGATGGGCCTTGAAGTGCTCCCACAGTAGTCCAGGTGAAGCAGGATGGCAATGCTGAAGCATTGTGACAAAGAGAAGTCATAGCTGTGCTCCTGTTTTCATATTGCATGCTTCCTCCAAGCATTCAAGCCATTCCTGATCATCTTCCAGTAGCCCTAAAGCATTGCATGCTGCCTTGAATGTTGGGTACAGAACCCCTTGCACAGTCCTAAGGTCTTCAAAGGATATTGGACCACACTTGTGTGTGAGGAGTGTGTGGAGATAAAAGTGCTTGTCAGCAGTTGGTTGGACAAAGTACATTTGACCAATTGCATATTGTGTGCACCAGAAGGCCCAGCACTTCTCCTTTAACTTCCATACATAGCTTGTTGGAAACTCTTGATATGTGAGAACTTGCTGCTCTGGTAGCAAAGATGCATTCATGGCAAAAAACTCTGTGAGCTTTGTGCATGCTGCTGCACCACATTCCACAATATCTTGAACTTCATCATTATCATTGAAGTAGACCATGTGTTCTCCTGGCAGATGCACTGGAAGGCAATAGACTGAAGGCTTCTCATCATGCATTCTGAAAGCATGGAGGCACCAGACAGCTTCAACAGGGCCAATATATCTTGCATTGGTATAACTCTTGACTTCATTTGTGACTTCAAGTGTTGTTCAATCCTGCCCCTTGTAGACATACTTGTGGATATACTTCACAGCACCAACTGTAAAGCAGAATTCAGCATTGCAGTGTGCCTGAACACACTTCAGAAGGTTCCTAGAAAGCTGCTTAGTTCTGGGTTCAACAGAGAAGTTATGCTGATAACTTACTTTGGGTATGGCACAACCCAACAGTTGTCCAGTTGTACACCATGCTTGACAACATGGCACTCATTATCAGGCCTCTTGAGTTGAACATAAGCATCTGCATCCATGCATGTTTCAGGGGAGAAAGACTTGGGGAAGCCCTTGCTGCATCGACCATCCTCCATGCATGGTGCATTTGGGAACTCAACTCCACATGGACCATGCATCATTTGTGTTGTCACCAAGCTGTAGAGCTCTGGGTCTTCTTCTTGTGATGGAATCTCTGCAGAAATGTGCAGATCAACCTCTTGAGGTGTGCGTGGCTTTGAGGCTTGATCAAGGAAAATCAACAGATGCATGTGCAGTAGGCTGCGTTTCTGGTACTCAATTGTGTACACTTGTGCAACTGCTTTTCCAAAGATATTGCCTTTGTAGATCAAATCCAGCACCTCATTTTACTTCAGATGAAAGACTTGAGCCACTAAGTCAGGTTGGTCTTGAGCTGTCTGGCCAGGAAGGAGGTTCTTGACAATTTTGCGCCATTTTGGATTTGCAGTGAGCATCAAGAAGATGTCAGGGTGTCCAGCCCAGCAAACAATTGCCATGGAGTCCTGGTATAGCTGGTACATAAAGCGACCACTGGAGACAAAGGAGGAAGGCAGAATAACACACCTGCCAACTTGTGAAAGCTCATGTGTGTGGTCATTATTTGTGACTGCATCTGCTGAGCCATTGTACACTTCTGCTCAGATTGTTCTTTGGTTAAATTCAATCCAATGCAGGCGTGCTTGCTCCACACAGGCCCAGGCATCGACAATGAACTGCTGGAATAGCCTTCCACAGTGGAAAAGGTGGAATGCCCATGGAAGGTTGTGGAAATGAAGGCAGTAGCAATAATACTCCATTTCTGTGACCTTTGTTCCTCAGGACATTCCCTGTACCTCTGCATCATCTTCTTGCTCATCTCCCAGCCCATCTTGCTTGCCCTAATTTTGCTGTACAGCCTGCCCAACCTTTGGTATAGCCCAATGCCATCCATGTTCACCATTTGGGAATGCCAACACATAATGCAATGGCATATATGCAGGGTTGCCAGTGCTCATAATTGTGAGCTGTCCATCTGTGCGATTATGTAGCTGTTAGGGCAACACAGGCTGACTAAGT